TGTAGGACGAGAAATATATGGATGTTGAGCAAGAGTACATTGGAGAGGAAAATAAGAATGTTTGAATTCATTTGATATTGCATTGGAAGTGCATTAGCAAACATTCTAATAATTGACATTAATTCAGGTTTCGAACGACCATGATTATTCAGAAGAATGCATATAACATTTTCATTATTGACTAATTTAAATAAAATGTATAATAAGAAGCAAGTGCTAAATATTCAAGTTTAATATTATATATTGAAGCATAAATTAAAAATGCTTTTGAAAGATCTTTATCAAATTGAAATGAAATTGAAGTTTCACGACCTGTACGATGTTCATCGGAAACGCGATGTCGATCAAATGATAATTGTAAAGATCGATCGATTTCATAATTATGAAGAGCATCAAGCCAAAAAGCATTGGTAACTGTCATCGGCATTTGTTGTTCAGCCACAGCGTCTTAAATAAAATGAAAAGTATACTAGTATAAAATATAAAAACAATAAACACAATAAGTTAATATACAATCAAGATTTTGGCGAAACATTTTCATTGATGGAAAATCAAACACAGCATGATGAAAATTAAAGACAAGCGCATCTTTTTCACAAATGATTCCATTTTGAAAAATGTTTTTATAATAAACAACATGACATCGACAAACAATACCAATCATTAGATTAAAATTATTTGGATTCCCACGTTCATTATATATAATTTTATTGAGATCTTCGTCTGTTTCGAAAGTACTTTCAATAAATGTAAATAGTTCTTTATTATCAGTATGATCAATAATCTTTTGCGTTAATATGTTTTTATTTGTATCGAAATAGAGTGATGTTCGAAGAGCAGAATGTTTTATAAGAACATGTTGTAAAGCTTGACGAAGTTTAGATATTGATAGAGTACCACCTGATGAAAGTTGATGAAGAAAAGGTATATTATATACGGCAACTTGTGAACTTTTTGAATTAAAACGAATTCGTTCATCAAGCCAAATACGTGCTTGAGCATATGATGCTGGTGCTATATGATAATAAGAACATTAAAAGATGAATATACTTAATTTTGATGGGGATGAGTAAAGATGTAGGTGTGAATCCTGTACCCGTATATTTCTATCGTGTAATAATTTTCTCAAATATATTAAAGACATACATACCTTCATTTATAATATCTGGTTGTCGACAAAAGACTATTCGTTCCATTTCATAAACTTCTTCTGGTAAAACAAGACTAAGTTTAGTAATAGGTGAAACAAGAATATCAGTTTGATTAATATTAGAATCCATTGAAAATAGTTGTTCAATAAGATATTGAAATCGTCGAGCAATTTTTGTAACTGTCATATCTTCGAATAGATCATGTGAACAAACAAGATGACATGATAACATATCATCATTTGACATTGGATTGTAAATAAATTTTAACATAAAATCAAATTTAGCAATTTAAATGGATTGTTTTGATTCAATTGGTTTTAAGTTGACATCATCGAAAGATAATTGATCAATATCAGGAGATTGAGTAATAAAATCAAATACTGTTTGAAGAAAAGAAACATTAGATTGAGTAGCATGAATATCAGATAGAATATTTTGTAATGGATAATGAGAATGTTTAAAAGTTGATATACATTTATCTTGTACTTGTCTAACAAGTTCATTAAATAATCAATTAGAATCAAGTTTCATACGATATGGCAATGTTGAAATAAACATTCCCATCATATTTTGTAACTCAGTTTTATATCGATTTGCATTATGACAAGAAATACATAAATCATTTTGATCTTGAGTTAATTTAAATAGGAAAATATAAAATAATGCCATACCTAATTGAAATGGAGTAGTCTGATGTGTAGAAACATAATTAAGAAATGATTTTGAAATATTTTTATAAAAAGAAATCCGGGCAATTGAAGCAAAACCAGATCGTTGATCATTAGATAAACAATGCTGGTCAGTCGATAATGATAATCGATGTTCAAAATCATAGTCTTTCAATTCTAGAAGCCAAAACTCACGTGATGGTTTCATATCAATTAAACGTTCATGAACAGAATAATCAATATATTGTAATAAATCTTCATCATCTGTCCATTCTATATTTGTATTATAAGCAAAACAAAGATCATTTAGAAAAAGTTGATAAGCTGATTGGTCTGTTGCAGCATGATGGAATGCGATAAGAAGGATATCAGAATCTTTAATGAATCTATTATCATTATTAGACATGATTTTTTGTCGAAGTACTTCACAATGAAAAACACGATCGGTGGATAAATCAAATAAATTAGGATTATTAATTGTTTGATAGAGAATATCTTGAAGTTCATTTTCATTTTTAAATGTTTGATTGGGAACAATTTGAAATATATGATGTTTATCACGAATATGTTGTTCAAGAATACCATTATCATTGTTGAGAGTAAGAAATGTGCGTAATATTTTATGTTTATTTAAAATATATTCAATAGCTTCTAATAGACGATCTATTGATATTGAACCTTGAATAATTTCTAAAGCAATCAATTCAATGTAGATAGCAATTTTATTAGAAAAACACATTTGTTCATCAAGAAAAATACGTTCTTGAGCAAAAGATGCAATAATTTGATTGATATGTAGTGTATGCCAATGTACTAATTTCATTTGATTGATTGTAATAGATTGAAGTAATTGTGAATGTTGAAGAATAGTTGGTTGTTGAAGAAATAAGACAATAGAAAGTACACGATTATCAAAATCATATAATTGTTGATATCGATGATAAAGTTCAATAAATAAAAGTGAATGACCACCAATACTAAAGAAATTTGCAGTTATTGAAATTTGTTGTCCAATACATCGAAGAATTTCACACCAAATATCATGAATCTGTTTTTGTAATTGATTTTGTGGAAGATCAGATCTGTTTTCGAATGCTATTGTTGATGATGTTGATGAGAGAGTTAATAATGATAAATCCGGTGGTGGAAGACGTTTTCGATCTACTTTTCCATTTGGACTCAAAGGTAGTTTTTCAAGTATAATAAATATTGATGGAATCATATGTGATGGTAGATTAGATTGACAATGATGACGTAATTGTTCAACATTAATGTTATCACTTTGAACATAAGCGATAAGATGATTTTCATCCCATTTAATAACAACACATGCAGTAATGGATGTTAACATAAGTAAACATTGTATAATTTCTTGTAATTCAATACGTTGTCCACGTAATTTCACTTGAAAATCTCTCCGACCAACATAATGAATCAATCCATTACTATCCATTCAAACAAGATCACCTGTTTTATAAAATATTTGCTCATTAATATTAATCATTACGTTAGCTGTTAAATCGTCAAGACCACGATATCCAGCAAAAACACCAACACCTCCAACAACTAATTCTCCTTCTTGTCCAATACTAACAGTTTGTAAGAACATGTCTAATATTAAAAACTGATAATTAGGAAAGGATTGACCTATGGGAATATCTGTTTGATCTTTGTTTAGATCAATTAGATGATTGATACAATTAATAGTAATTTCAACTGGACCATAATGATTTCGAATTCGATATTCACTTCTCACCTGACTTTTTAATAGATTAACTAGTTTATTGTTGAGAACTTCACCTATGCTAGAATAATCTAAAAAGAATATGATAATAATCTAACATAATAATTCTAAAATAACAATCACTAACCACCGCTACATACAGTTCGTAACCATTGTACTGACGATTTTCGATTAGTAGTATTGAGAAAATTAAATAGACTATTCCATAAAGATGGAACAGCTTGCATAACAGTAATCTGTTTTTCATTCAATACTCCTGCAAGATAATCTAAATCCATATGACCTTCTGGTCGAAGCATTATTAATGTAGCTTCAATAGTTAATGTACCCACAAGACTTAATAGATGATTATCAAAAGAGCATCGAGCCATCTGTATTATTGTATAAGTTTTTCTTAATATATCAACATAAACAAATGAGCGTAAAAATTGAGTAAAATTTCGATGACGTAGTTGAACCTATTAAAAAATGCATACATTAAAAAATATAAATAGTCAAAAAAAAATTATACAAACCACTTTCGGAATACCAGTTGATCCACTAGTAAAAATTACAAACAGAATATTTTCTGATGTTATTGGTACATCTGACATTTCAGTCAGATGAATACTAGTAGAATTTTCTTCATTATTTATAATTGTATCAATATTTAAAGTTATAATATCGATTTCAAAAAGAATGCGTGTAGATGAATGAACAAGAACTAAATGACTTCGAGTTTCTTTCACAAGAATTTGTAGACGTTGTGAAGGATCTTGTGATGATAAAGGACAATAGGCACCACCAGTCATAATAATTGATAGAATGCCAATGACCTAAAGAGAAATAAATGATATATTATACACATATTATTACAAACAATATTTTGTAAATATATTTACCATGGATAAACTTCGCTCTACACATTGACAAATAATTTCACCCGATTTTACATTGTATTTATTTAATAAGACGAGAGAAAGTTGTTGAACATAATATCAAAGTTCTGTATATGTTAATGATTGTTCATCAAGTTCAACAGCTATTTTTTATGGACGTTGTATTACTTGATAAATAAATTCATGATGCATACAAGCGGCAGAAGGAAACAATACTTGTGTATTGTTTTTTTTTTTTTTTTTTTTTTTTTTTTTTTTTTTTTTTTTTTTTTT